TCAAATTTAAAACGTCTTTTGTGGAAGCTATCATCATTGCGTTACTATTTACCGTACTCATTCTTATGAACTACAAAATGTTTGTCATTGCGAAATCTAAAAGCAATAATACTTTATCAAAAGGTAAAAATGGGAATCTAGTCTTCAGGAAATATTATACTTGTCTTTTAGCTGTTGGAAGTTTCTTCATATTTGCTTCTCCCTCCGTGGTTTATAATATATTGGAACTAACAGAAAGAATGGTTATGAAGACAGACTCTGGTATTTCACTTTTCTTTTGGGCTTCAACTCTACTTTGTATAAATTCAACTGTTAACTCTTTAATTTTTTTCTGGAACAACAGTATTTTGCGCAGCGAAGGAAAGAAGATACTAAAAGCTTTTCGATTTTTCTGATTGTTTATATAGTTGGCCAACACCTGAAAATGTGTTAAAAAATCTGTTTATGTTATACATGCTGTCAACTGGCATTTCCTTAGAGTTTAGACCATGGTAAAGAAGACTATATATGTTGACACCTCTAATTTTGGCCTATTATAGCTGAAAATTTGGCCTGTTGAAGTACAATGTAAACTTGTACAATGTCAACATAGTACTTTATTAGGCAGACATATAAGACTAAAAACTTCTCAAATTTTCAGCTATAAAGCCAAAATCAGAGATGCCAACATACATAATATTATAAAGTCTTGTTCAAAAATGTCATCAGATTGTAAGTTTAAAACTTGGGCGGTCGTTTATTGGCAAAATTGCGACACCGAAAGTTAAGTTTGCTTTCACATGCGAAGTAATTCAGTATAATCCACTTTTTACCCATGAACTTGTTAAATGCAGGTATAATTGCTGCAGCTATGTATAAGTTTGAAAGCAACTTACTTTGAACATTCTTCAAAATGTAAATAGGTTGCCTATATTAAAAATAAGTACGCTAGGCGAACATGTATCTGCGACAAGTGTTGTTGTTGACAAATACATGGAATCTAATTCTATTAACCGTGATGGAATGTATGCCCATGGAAATTGCATGCAGGTGTGAATTACCCAAGTTCTTTCAAAATATTTAAAATGATCCTCTCTGTCATGGGATCGAGATAATTGCAGTAAAATGGGTTAATGAAATTATAATAAAGTTTTCCTCAATGATCAATAACATAATAACAACATTTGCAACTAATATTTACTATCTAGCAGGTTGATACCCAGAGTATATCCCATTTGGAGAAGAATATTTTTTCCGTATTGCTGTAACACAACAGCTTGGATTCCTTGGAATCATTATCCTGTTCCCACTTCCTTATCTTTTCGTGTTGCCAGAGTACATATTGTTTGTAAGCAGCATGGTGAAAATTTTCATTGTTTCTAACATTATTTTTCCGCAACACTAAACAGCGTTCCCGGCCCTGTAATGCATGGCCAGGTCCAGAACGTTTCCATCAAGTACTAACTGTGGGAACAGAGGGGCTAGGGTCATGCAAGGCTGTATTGTTTGTGTACAGCATTTGTTTTCCAATTGTGTTGGCATTGCAACACAGCATCCACATTTGCAACACTCTGGGACATTTTCTGGGTTTTCCTCTGGGTCTGGTTGAAGCGGTGCACCTGGCAATTCATTATTTAACCAAATCAGCTAATGTAGCTGGCTGACACTGTATAGGACATTTAGGCTGACGCTCTTAGGGCATTTAAAATTAAATCCATTGCTTCCACAAGATTCCGAAATGTAAAGATATTTATCATTAATTAAATGCAAAGACTCAAGCACAGTGAAACACTGATATTTTTACCACAAATTCCTCTATAGACTTGTATAGACGGGTAAACTCTTTTTACATAATTTGATATTTTATTCGGCAAGGATATGCATAATTATATACAGAGTATGTAATAAAACAAATCATATGTGTTAAAGCTTTCAAAAATGTCAGTCTGTCACTCAAATGTACAATGTATATGTCTGTGCATATTCTTGGCCGGCAAAGTATTAAACTATGTAAACAAAGTTTAGGCCAAATAAAAAAAAATACCGGTGGTTAGCGCCACCGCCCGCCTCTCGATTTTCTGCCGCCTCTGAATTTTTTTTTTTTTTTTTTGTGTAAATCTCTTCGTTTTACAGCTTAAAACAGTTTAATATTTGAAATTTTTCTCATGCTCAGACCTTCGCGCTATATACTGATCGATAGGAGCGCGTAGGCTTGGGTATACAAGGTCTTAAAACAAAATGGCGGCCTTCGCAACATCAGTACAAAAAATATCACCGATATGGTGGAAAAACCGCCCCCCATCCCCTCCAAAAATACTATTAAAAAATTAAAAAACGAGTAAAAATTTTAAAAAAATCCGCCCGCCCGCCTCTGAAAATTTGTGAGAGTGTGACGCTAACCAAGTATTTTTTTTATTTGGCCTTATTCATGTATTGTTAGATGATCATTATCCTTCGTTTAGAGTGAACAGTCACAATGAACAACATTACATATTCTCAAATGAACATTGCTCAGGCCATTTTTTGCCTAAACGAAACATGTATATAAACTGCAATGAGCGAAAATAATAAGATTACATGTACATGTGTGAATCACGTTTATAACGAACAGTATAACGAACAGTGTCAGTACATAATAGCAATAATACAAACTCACCGTCTGGTCACTGTCACGTTCTTGAACCCTTCGATTGTTCATACATGTATCAAAATCCTATTCGTGGCACGCGCTTGAGCAAAAAATACCCATACTTTTGCAGGCTCTCTATCGAAAACAGAAGCCGCGACATGAACATATCGTCTCCACATATCTTCAGCGAAAAGCTTAATTTCTCCCCATAGTGGAAAGTAAGGCACTTAAGCGGGAGATCTCCTGCGGAAGGAACAAGGTAAAAAATTGTATTGCGGAAATATTTTGCGGAAGAAAAACGTAAAATAAAACTTGCGGCGGAAATATTTTGCGGAAGAAAATGTAAACTAAAATTTGTGGAAAAAAAGGAAGTCAGAATTCAACATACTAAAACACTGTTTTCAGGCCATCAGAATTCTGTCAAATCATCCCCAAAGTCTAGGAAATGGCATTTCAGAGACTCTAAATTTAAAAATTTCCTCGGGCCTTCGGCCCTCACTTTCAGTCCCCCAATCAAAAAGAGCTTCCTAACCGCACTAATTTATATATAAAATTAAGAAAGGCATAACACGGGGAATACTCCGTTTTTTGTTCGAAATAGTTCTTTTTTTGTTCGTGTATGTTGTTTTTAATAAAAGGTTTCTGTTCATGAGCAATCCATACGTATAGGCCTAAAACGTTGCCCCTGGAGGTCGAGGCAAATCAGCGCAAACTGTTTACAGATATGCGATTTGGGAAGTAATTCGAAGTATGGCAAACTATCCGAAAAGGCTTTAACATATTTTATAATATGAATTTTGAGTGGAAAAAATTTCTTAAATAAGTCGAATCTCTAGGATAAAGTCCGCGGAAACCTTCGACATGGTCACAGGTTTTGCGGAAATCTCCAGTGGCGGAATTGCGGAAATATCCTGCGGAAGAAAACACGTACTTTCCACTATGGATTTCTCCGAGTGCTTTGATCTGCCATGACAGCAACAATGACTCTGACAATGTGTTTCGACGAACAAATAACCCAAGGAAAGGTTCGTGTTTACTTTGGCACTTCCAAAGTTTATTTTACAATGCCGAACATTATATTCAGAATACGTACAATGGGTTGCGAACTCGCACCCGGCACCTTTGCTGTGTCGGCCTCTTCTAGATATTTCATTAACGAAATACACGAAAGAAAAATGTCGAATTAATCAGCAACATATCTTCCATTGGTGGTCTGTTAAAATATTTAATTGCTTGTCTTTCAGAAGACAATTTTAAAAAAAATTAACTTCACTCCTGGTTCCTTCATTTATAATTTGTTTAGTGCATAGCCGTATACTTCATATTATACAATTGAAGTGGATCCAAACCAAAACAAAAGATGTAACCAAAGCCCGCACATGCGCAGAATGGACTGTAACCCAGCTTTAAAATTTCCTAAAAACGCAAAACATCCGTGACCTGCCGCAAGGCAAACCTTTGACTCACACCCAGTCCTTGTATGAGGATGACAAAAGTAATGATGCATGATGGGAATGATCAAGGTTCAAATTTGCATCACAACTTCTCAGTCCACTGATAACCAGTATAACTATAGTATAATCACTAGTATAACTTCTATATACTTAAAACTAGTATAACTCTTCATTTTTAATCTACTCTGTAAATCTAATACCTTTGTTTTGAACAAAGTTTGTTAAGAGCAAGCCTATATATATAGTCACCGGCTCCGCCCATGCCAGCGACTAAAAATATTGGCACAAAATCTCCAAATATACCTACTAGATATATTGAGTGATACACACCTCTGTGTTACGTTACTAACTTCTTCCCTATCCATTTAGGCATATTTCACACTTATTGATTGCATTATTTATGAGTTTCTAATTCCAATCCCAACAGCTGATTCTATCCCATGAAACAGCGAAGTATGTATCTATATCCAAAATATTGGAATTAGGTTGTTTCAACCGGTATCAGACTCCTTAACTATCTAAACATGCTCGGTATTCCAGTAAGATGGCTTTAAGAAGGTACATTCCATACTCATGCTGATACGGTTCTTATAGAAAATGGACCATATGTGGCTAAACTCAATTGTAACAAACAATTCAGTGCAAGTGTACCTCAAATTAAATTTTTATACAGTGTCTCACAAAATTCTGCTCAAGTAATCTTAGCACTACGGTATTAGATGATTACCGCTTTCATGCATATTCTTTTCGCAATAGGCAACAATTTGTATAAATAAAAATACCCAATCGTTTACATAGAAATTGTAAAATTAATGTTCCTCACACGGTGTCAAGGGTCATCGCTTGTGCTACTTCCATTGCATGTAACTAAAATATGTACAACACGATTAGTGTTCTTCAATATTACTGAGTCGTGAATACAGTAAGTTCAATGTCACCAATGCTTGGTGGATGTTGGTCACAAGTTGTAATTGTTGCTGATGGCAGTAGTGTTGTATCTTCATCTGAAAACTCCAAAACATATGCTCCAAATGTAGGCCTAGGTCTTACTGTATCCGGACGTCTAGCTTGATGCCAAAAATTCCAAATTATAAAGGCGACTACCAAAGCCCCAATGACAAGAACACATACAAGTACAATAAAATAATCCTTTTTGATAACACCAACATAGCGTTGAAGATCGATGTTTTTGTTAAGATTACGATTTGCCGTTTCGTGGTGACGATCATGAGACGTAGTTAGTTTTGTTGGTTGTTTTGACGGAAGATTACCCTCAGTTGTTTCATTCTCGCGATCAACCAACGTAGTCAGTCTTGTTGGTTGTTTTGACGGAGGATTATCCTTTGTTTTTTCATCTTGACGATCAACCGTCATCGTCTGTTTTGTTGGTTGGAATTTTGATGGAGGATTATCCTCAGTTGTTTCATCTTGCCGAGCAACCGACGTAGTCAGTCTTGTTGGTTGTTTTGAGAGAAGATTTGCCTCAGTTGTTTCATTTTGACGATCATCCGACGTAGTCAGTCTTGTTGGTTGTTTTGACGGAGGATTATCTTTAGTTGTTTCATCTTGACGATCAACCGACATAGTCAGTCTTGTTGGTTGTATTGACGGAGGATTATCCTCAGTTGTTTCATTCTCGCGATCAACCAACGTAGTCAGTCTTGTTGGTTGTTTTGACGGAGGATTATCCCTTGTTGTTTCATCTTGACGATCAACCGTCATCGTCTGTTTTGTTGGTTGTTTTGACGGAGGATTATCTTTAGTTGTTTCATCTTGACGATCAACCGACGTAGTCAGTCTTGTTGGTTGTATTGACGGAGGATTATCCTCATTTGTTTCATCTTGACGATCAACCGACGCGGTCAATTTTGTTGGTTCTTTTGACGGCCCTGAGAAAAAATATAATTGACAAATGAGATATTTTGTTAGATGACATTAGTGTAGATGGAAATTTCGAGTGTAAATTTTGTGACTAGCCCCCCCCCCCCCTCTGTGGCAAGCTACTATGATATGGTATGAGCGGTGGTGGTCGGTGAGCGATGTCTTTCCGGATTGTCGTGAAATTGTCGTGAGCCGAAGTGAGGCCGACAGTATGGCGATCGCGTTTGTTTCGTGGTTTCGGTTATCATTGGAAATTTGGCCGGAAGTGATGATGCCCGACAGTTTGACGATCGGTTATTGTATTCTGCAATTTCGGCGAATGCAGGGACCGGTTGTATCAAAGGCGTTTTTATACTACATACCTTGGCCTAGCCTTGGCCTGGCCTTGGCCAGACCAGGGTAAATGTGGCGCGTTTACATCATTACACTGGCATAGAGATTGGCTCACTTTGGCCAAGATTTTTAAAATTAATTTTGTGTACTTTTATGTGTTGTGACGTTGTCCGCTGGTTGGCCGCTAATCTCTCACTGCCAGCACACGTTGCCATGGAAATGAGGCCCAGGTCAGGGCCGAAAATGTTTATATTTCCAGTTTTCCACAAGCCTATAGGCCTATAGGCCAGGCCTAGGCCACCGGTTGTAGTGAACCCAGATTTCCTGGCCTAGGTCAGACCAAGGCTTAGCCAAAGTCTGTTTACACTGTCAAAATGTAGGCCAGGCCAAGGCTAATAGTGTAAACACGACTTAAACGGTCTCTTGAGACCGTTTAAATCGCTATACGGCGGATAAACTTGGAGTTTGAAGATAAAACAATGATCATTTCGAATGAAAGGGTATGGGATATTTATAGAAATGCACAATCCTGTTGAGGAGTTATCTTTTTAAATCCCGAATGAACATGAAAAAAATCACTTTTGACTGCCGGCGCTTGATCTTGAGATTTACTGAGGTCACTTGCTGATCACTTGTAATTCCTTGGCTTTGCTATAAACACGCACACCAGTGTCAGTGTTTATACGTTAAGTATACGCCTTCTTTTGTTCCTTTATATAGTTCAAGCAGTATAAGACTCCCACTTTTAGCTATTAAAACAGGCATGTGGTAAAACGCGGACTGGGCTGGACTGGTAAGTCGCGGACTGGACTGGACTGGACTAGTAAAACGCGGACTGGACCCAATTAGTAAAACGGTACTAAACGGGCTTCGTACAACGCAATTTTATCGGCCGTTTAACTATCCGTCGGATAAGAAATTTATACGCTGGATAGCGGCTAAACACCGTTTAAGTTAAATGCCTTTGATACAACCGGCCCCAGATATATTGCCATCGTTGCGCGTACCGGAAGTTTGTAAGCGTGTTTCCAGCCAATCAGCGACAGCGTATAGATGACAATGACGTAATTATAAAAATTTCAAGATGGCGGTTTACTGAAGGGTGAAAACAAAGGGAAATTATAATGTTTTATGTATTTATTCCTTTCGCTATATGAATCGTTACAGCTTGTCAATTCTCCCTGAATAATGTATTTGTCCTTGCCCTATCTTAAATCACACCCCTTACTTATATATTAACTAATTAACTAATTATGTTAATATTAACACTACATCCCTCCCTTTCTTTTTGCTTGCAATTTCGTCCTTTGTCATTCGTGAACAGTACAAAATATATATATATATATATATATATATATATATATATATATATATATATATATATATATATATATAGTGTATTTTTATGTCTGAAGAAATCTTATAGCCAAGTTCATACATGCACTATTTTTATTTTATTTTATTTAACAACTTTATTGGTGACATAAATTCCTTTTTAATAATTAGTTCAATATCAACTGGCCCAAAAGGGAAGGTGCGAACGAGGCTATATAGAAGTCCCATGCAAGGCACCTCCCTTCTCTAATAAGTAATAACAGATATTTATAAATAAAAATATTTCCTACGGAAATATGGTTTTTTATGTCAAGCCTGAATTATAGTGATAAGATAAAAGTAGGAAATAGTTAGATTGGATTGTGGCAGATTAAGGTGGGACTTGGCGGAGAAGGAAATTCCGGTGCTTTTACCTACGTAAGAAACATAAAGTCAAGGCCAAATTTTAGCTACTAAAAGCAAAGCAAAGTTATTCACTTCTCAATTCAATCTTTCTCGTGATCGAGTGAAGACATACGAATTTTCTTCCCACCTCCACCCGCTGGCCTGCCACTTTGTATTTTAGTTTGTTGTTTTTTCTTGTACATATCATTATTATACCTTTTTTGCCTAATTGGCGTGTAGTCCTGCCACCTTTACTGGCAATGAACATTAACAGACTCAAGTTATTAACTCAAATGATCAATTTTAATGATTTTATGATATTTCTAATTAAATGACGAGATTTTAAATAAAGCGGCTGTGAATCAATTTCACAGCCAAATTATCCCAAGCCGAGTGTTTTGTTTTGCCAGTAAACTGAGCTCGTTAAATGCAACACCTCGTGAAAAGCAGGAAGGCAAAGACATAAATACATAATATATGTTATAAAACTATGAAAACAATGAAAGTAGCAAAACGGTCAAACAAGAGCGAATGATGATTTGGAGATCAAGCTAGTCAAACTCTCTTGCATGGAGTGATTAGTTAAGATGACGCACGAAACATCATCATTCATTCCTATTTGGACGCTTTACTTCTAAATAATTGGTTTACTCTATGACCTATGGCAAGAGCAGTCCCGCACCAGACTCCATGTGCACGTCATGTCCACGTCAAAGGTTCTGTTCAGCTCTAAACTAAATGTGTTTTTAGCCAACGTTTTAAACGTCGATAAGCTGGAAAAGTTTTGAGAAGTGGAAGTGACCATAATACTGTTCCAGAGCTTGACTATACGGTTAAAGTACGATCCTTGGAAGGTGCTTGCTCTGCAGGACGGAGTTTTTAGAGTTCTCGCTTCACTTAACCTAGTACGTCCGTGGGTTACAAAGGAAACAAAGTTATTGATATCCAAATTTCTATACCCGTGCATTGCCTTGTAAAAGAAAACCAAATCCTTTACTTCGCGATTGTAACATAATGGCAGTAACTTCAAGGTCACCAGTCTTTCCTTGTACGACTGTTCACCTTTTCGTTGCTTCAGGATCCTCCTCGTTGCCCTTCTTTGAACATTTTCAATTTTGATTTTAAGTGAAGTGAGTGCTGGAGACCAGACTTGGGTAGCGTAATCGAGGTGGCACTTCACCAGGGAGAGGTACAAGGAACGCCGCACTTTCGTGTTGGTCAGCAAGGGGCATGTCCTACGTAAGAGTCCAAGCATTTTGTTGGCTTTGCACACCACAACGAGGACTTGTTGATCCCAAGTGAGGTGGTTGATAATGATACATCCCAGGTCTTTTTCTTTTCTAACGTGGACCAGCGTCGTATTTCCAAGATGGTTGCTTTTTCGGGTTACTGTCAATACCTTACACTTCGATGCGTTAAAAATAATGTTGTTGTTATGGCTCCATATACTCAGATGATTCAGGGATTGTTGCAAGCTTTCACAGCTACCGAGACAGGATATGCTCTTGTAAAGTTTCGAATCATCAGCATACAGTGCTGTCTGTGACGTATCAGACACAACATTAGGGTAATCATTGATAAAGATAACGAAAAGTATAGGACCAAGTAAACTTCCTTGAGGAACGCCAGACGTTACAGTCGCCCAATCGGATGCTACACCATCTACAACGACTCTTTGAACACGGCCGTGCAGGTAGTCGGTGAACCAATTTAACAAGTTTCCATTTACCCCATTTGATTTTAGTTTGGCAAGGAGAATGTCATGGTCAACGGAGTCGAATGCTTTGGCGAAGTCCAAATATAGAATGTCTGTTTGGATGTTCTTGTACAAGCTCTTGCCGATAGCGTGAAAACAGACAGAAGTTGTGTCACACACGATCGGTTTCTGATGAAGCCATGTTGTTCATCAGCGATTAGATGGGATATATGGTTGTACAGATTGCTGCATACAGAGCGTTCGAGAAACCTGCTAACAATCGACAACAGCGAGATAGGACGAAAGTTCTCAGCTACTTCTTTTGACTCCTTCTTATGAACAGGTGTGATGTTCGCAGCCTTCCATTCTATGGGTACTCTGCCGCAGTTCAGAGAATGATTGAATAACGCACACAAACTTGGTCCAATTTGTTCACTACATTCCTTTAATAGGCGAGGGTGAATTCTGTCAGGGCCATGTGCCTTGGTTACATCTAAATTGCGTAAATTGTTCACGACTTCTTCCACACTAACAGTAATATTGGACAACTCTACATGAGTTTTAGGTGGAGTGTCGTCGTAATCATCGTTCTCCGTGCTTTTGTTCAACCGTGAAGTTTGAAAAACAGACGCAAAGTATGAGTTAAAAAGTTCTGCTTTTTCGCGTGGGGTTTTCGCCGTGATGCCGTTATATGTTATGCGAGTATTTTGATCTGTTCGATTGTGAAGCATAGCTTTATGATAAGACCAAAATGTTTAATGATTGGAACAGAACGATGATTCAATCTTATGAAGATATTCACGGTGCTTTCGCCTGATTAATTTTTTAACGTTTTGACTGATTGTTCGTAGTTTCAATTTCCGAGAATCTGACTTATCCAAACGGTACTTTCTCAGTGCTGTATATTTCTTTCGAATGAGATATCGAACCGCACAGTCAATCCATGGTGGAGAATTTTTATTGGTTATCGTCTTAACAGGGACAAATTGATCAACGGCTGCTTGAAAATTACTTTTCCATTGCATCCAACACTCGTCAATATTTTCTGTGAGATCTATTTCAATCGGTGTTCTCTGTAGGAACGTCCGAAGTTCTTGAAATCTTCCATGATTGAAATCATAAACATTAAGTCGGATACGACGAGCTCGACTGAAAGTTTGTGTAATTGAGAACTCGACTGGAAAATGATCACTGGGGAAATCACAATGATCCAGCGTTCTAATATCTCGGATTAGTTCAGGTTGGTTACATAGTAGCAAATCCAATTTATTTCCTCCGAGGTGCGTAGATCCTGTGATATGCTGTTGAAGAAAATTGTCATTGAACAGACATGGTACCTCACACCCATTCATATTATCGTACAGCGAAGAAAATTATTCGTCATCTCAGTAATATTTCCTTCTTACGTACGTGCAAGTCGTTAAATGTTATACCTAATGGTTTGCGAGCTAAAAACATACTGGAAAACACCACCAACTGTCCAGCAGCCAGGAAACTAACACAACAACATAGCAGACAGTGGTTACAATTAGCAATCAATACTCAATATCACCGCTTATATAAGACTCGCCAGTACGTATTTCCACTGATTCAACACGAAGATCAAGAAATTGTACGCTTCCAAACCTCCCTAAACGAGACCAAACAACGTAAACTCCAGCAACTACTGAACCGACAATGCCACCACACTTCGTCAACATCAACTTCCAACAAGCCACAAGGATTCAAAAACATATCGTCTCAAGCGTTGAACGATGGTCTTAAAAACATTCTGGAAAAGGGCCCCTCCTTAGTAAACGCCGAACCTAAACATCTCCCCAGACTTAGTTTACTAGCTAAAACCAGTCTTCAACATGCTACAGACCAACTCAAACGCCAAAACACTCCCGACAACGCCATAAATGAATTCAAAGGAGGGATGGCTCGCGTGATCGATGAAGGTAATAAGCATGGTAAAAAGATTCTTAAAAATAAGTCACTAACCTATGATTTTCCACCAAAGGACATAGTTATCACCCCCACGGATAAGACTAAACGATTACTTGCTTTGGATTCAACATCATATTATGATAGGCTACATAGATCAACAAAAGAGACAGGAAATTATAAAGAATTAAATAGACTAAATCTACCGAGGACGGAACAAATAAACTTTAATACCCGTTTGAACAAAGTTACTAACAAATATCGATATAAGAACCCCAAGTTATATAAGGATCTCAAAGCTACTATCTGCTGTGAACCACTACCCTGCTCTGCCTACTGTCTACCCAAAGATCATAAGGAGGGATCGGAACTTAAAGGCAGACCTATATACACGCAGCTACAAATACACCCGCAACTTCTCTGTCCAAGTACCTAGCCAAATCATTACAAGAACTTTTAAAACATATTCCAGCTCATTTAAAAAACACTGACGAATTTATCAATTTCATGTCCAATACGGACAGTAATTCAGTACATGGTTTCTGCAGCATAGACGTATGTAACTTATACGGGTCTATACCTTTGGCTGATATAGACGATCATACTCCTAGCATTTTCACAGTTGCACGGCGTTTCTTCCACCAACACAAAGCTGATTGTCGGTTGCATGCTCTTAGCGACAAAGACTTCGAAGAACTGGTTCGTCTCTGTTTGACTAGCGACCGGGTTTTGATTGACGGCAAAGGCTACAAACAGCAATCAGGTTTGGCTATGGGGAACAACTTGGCCCCCATTTTAGCGACTATATATATGAATGAACTCGACAATCAAATTTTACTTAAGTCTAATGGATTTGTCACTCTCAAGCGATTTATCGACGATTATTTTGCTTTCCTGTTATGTATAGACCTTTCAGGACAAAAGTTTTAACATTAGCCAATAACCTATAAACAGTGCAATCAAATTGACACTTGAGTTGCCAAATAACAACCAATTACCTTTTTTGGATACCCTTGTTACTTGGAACCTCGATACTCAAATATTCACTACAACCCTCTACATAAAACCAATTTACAGTCAATGCATTACACCATGGGACAGCCACGGGTCAATATTCTCTAAACGAATCATAGTAACTGGGGAAGTAAACAGGGCTATTTATTGTTCAACTGATTCCACAACACAAAAGAAGTCACTTAATCTCATTACGGAGTTATTCACTGCCAATGGATATCCCAAAACATTCATTAAATCCATAATTAGAAGAACGATTCACAAGAACAGACAACGGCATAACAAGCAAGATAACGAACCGGAGGAATTAGAACAGCAGCAATTTACCTATGTAAAGCTACCATTTATCAACGAAGAATTTAAACGACAGGCTATAAGGGTAGTAAAGCGATCACGAATACCGAATATAAGATTACATTTTACCAACGGTCACCCCTTTCTGAAGTTTTTAGGCGATAACTTTGTTTTCATTCAGAAAGGTAATTAATTGGCTATAAATAACTTTTTCAAAGACTTGAGTGACATTTGATATAATAGAAATTGGTCTATAATTACCGCAGTCTGTCTTATTTTCGGATTTATAGATTGGCGTAACACGAGCAATTTTCCAATCACTGGGAATATTCCAGTATTTAATTTAAAGACAAATTGAATATATATTTTCAAGGACTTCAAAGTAGTTTTCCCAGCTGCTTGTATGAGTTTGACCGAAATTTTGTCAATTCCTGCAGATTTGCAGGTTTTCATACTGGAAATAATGCGGTTTACATCCTCTTCTGATATTGTTTTGAAAGTAAATGAACTTGACACTGGATTCATATAATGTAAAGGGTCAAGATCGTTATCAGGAATTTCTTCTGCTAATTTTTTGCCTACTTAAGAGAAATATTTATTGAATTCCTTTGCAATTTCTTCATCGCCTACTATTACTTTGCCGTTCATATTAATCTCGTTGATCGCTGTTGTTTAGATTTCCGATTTAATAATTCATTAATTGTTTGCCGCACTCTATAGTGTGTGTATTCTGGATTTTTTTTTGCAGTCTCTATAATAGTTCGCTGCGATTAAAGGATATCTTCTTTGTGGTTGTTCTTGTATCCCTGGTTCTTCAATATGACTGTTTCGAATATCCTCGTCTTCACCATTATCGTCATTCGTAGTGGATCCACAAGTGGACGGTGTGTTATCTTCTTAAAATATGATGAATTTCTTGTTATCTTGTGTTTGGCCTATCAGCTGTAGTAATGCTGCCTTTTATGGCGACTATGTGGTATGGTATGGTATGGTATGGTATGGTATGGTATGGTATGGTATGGGATGGGATGGGATGGGATTTTTGTACGACGAGAATTTGTTACGCTTTCGCTGTCGTACTAGCACATCGTCTCCAATCTGAAACGTAGCTGGTTTCGCATTGTTTCTGTCATCGGCATATTCTTTCATTTTTCTTTTAGCGGTCGCATCTTTACACCTGAGGTCAGAATCAATAACAGTTGGGGAAACTTCTGGCAGTTTTATTCTCATCTTTCTTCCAAATAATAGTTCCGCGTGTGTTTTGTCGGTACTTGCGTGCGGAATTGCGCGATAGTTGCGCAGAAAACGATACAGCTGTTGTTTCCAATTGAGCTGCTCGGTGTGTGCCGTGATAATTGCTTTGTTTAAAGTTTGCATGAATCTTTCTGCTTCGGCATTTGCCTTGGGCGACAGTGGAGTAATATTTCGGTGGCTGAATCCTAGATCTTCTGAAAATGTCTTAAATTCTTGACTATTAAAAGGGGGTCCGTTATCAGTTTTTATTTCTATCGGAATGCCATGGGTAGAAAGAATCTTGTCAAACTTTGGTATTGTTGCCTTTGCTGAGGTGGATTACAGAATTTCTACTTCCGAATACCCAGAATATTCATCAATGACTACGAGTAGATAGTCACCGCTTGATAGGGGTCCACAAAAATCTGCTGAAAGTTTCTGCCACGGTCCATCGGGTAGTTTCGTCATTTGTAGAGGTTCGTGATGTTTGGTGGATGTCGCTGCTTGACATGGTATGCACTTTTCTATCATTGATTTTGTTTATCATTTGATGATTTAAATGTCGAGTCAGCTAGGGTCATGGTATCAGGTAATGTTGATTTATTTGATTTCGATTTGAAAAATTTCCAAAATTGTTTAGGATTAAATTTTATCGTATTAGCAAGGTTCCTTATATAATCAGGCTTTTTGGTTTTGATCATGCGTTTAGCTGACTTTCGTAGTTCACGAAATTTTTCCCGTAGCAATGCCGAATTAGACTTTCTTGCTCGTTTTCTTAAAGATTCTTTCTGATGGAGTATGTGAATAATTTCTCTTGTAAATTAAG